TTTCCCGTTGGCGTATGATTATATTCCAATGTATGTTTATTTATGAATAGTCAACAAAATATTGCATTCCTTCAAGTGATTAGTACACAGAGCGTAAATTCCGTGCAAGACGAACTTCCATTGATCTGTAGCAATCACACGGTAACAGCAGAAATGCGGATGTCCTATCTGCGACAACCCCCCCCCCCCCCCCCCCCCCCCCGTGCCCCGCCCCCCCCCATTAAAAAGAAAATAAAGATTATGTAAAGATAGACAACTTCACGAGATATCCGACTATGTGAAAACTCGGGTAAAAGTCGACCTAACTACATGTTTAATCAAATTTTGATTAGAAGAAAAACAACGATTAAAGGTAAGACGACCGTTATATATATTAGTCCAGTAATTTCGACATTTGAGCCGCGTCACGACAAAACCAACATAATGGGTTGGCGACCAGCATGAATCTAGACTAGCCTGCGCATCCGCGCAGTCTGATCAGAATCCATGCTGTTCGCTTACCAACCCTATAACAAGTAAAGAAACTGATAGCGAACAGCATGGAATCTGATCAGACTGCGCGGAAGCGCAGGCTGGTCTGGATCCATGCTGGTCGCAAACGCATTACGTTGGTTTTGTCGTGACACGGCTCATTTATCAATTTTAACAAAACCTGCTCATTGGTTATTAACTGGGATGTTTGGACGAATTGTTAAATTACTAATAGCAACCGTTCATGTGATGGATTGAACGCATACAGAATTACAGATACCATTTTATGGTGCAATGAATTCGGATTTTGATCCGATCTGACTTAGGACTGTTTTTGGTCATTTGTAAGTATAGGAGCCATAAGTTAGGACCTTTTTTAAGACTTTCTTTGAAACGCAAAATTGTCACAATTTTTATCCTAAGACAAACTTAAGACTTAGGACTCTCCATGAAACGCAGTCCTGAGTTTGATACTTACGGAATTTTGCAAAACTAGTGTTGCATCAAAAAATCATTTATGTTCATTTTTATGACAGCCACACTTTGTCCTTGCATATCATGGCTACTTCCTTAACAAAGATACTTAAAAAAGAATTAAAAAAAAAAGTTTCCTCGACTGGGATTTGAACTCCAGACCTCTCACACAATAAGCGAGTGCGTTACCCCTGCCCCACGGAGAAGTTATACAAACAATAACTGAATAACATCAAGTCATTCTAAATTTAGAACTTCCATTGCATTTCGGGTTTGTAATCCTTATTAATTTCGAGTTATTTTGTTCAGGATAAACCTGTTGTTTAAAATTGAAGTAAATAATTTAGCGAAAATCTTCTCGCCCAAACAGTCCGACATGTAGAATCTCTATATTCCACTACTCGGTTTGTGTAGTATTCGGTAATCGACATCGCTAAAAATAGTATTTTCATTGATAAAATCATATTCATCCGCGTAATTTGTGATTGTGCATTTATTGACAATTCTATAAGCCAACGCTACTTTTAAACTTTGAATGCGTTGTAATTTGTTTGATACTTGTAACAAAATAAAAAATATTTCTTTCTTTTAAATCGCTAGTTTTAAGCTGTTTTGAGAACTACTTGTTGTTAGGCTTGTCGTGAAACTTCTGTGTCAGAGATTGAATGTCCGCTTTGTAGTTACTTATCTTCGATCAGAAAATACAATTAAACAATATTAGAAATCTTCGACCATTCGGGAATTATTTTGCTTGAAAATTAATGCGTCTGTCTTGAGCCATCTTTACGCAGTGATCTCCCCTGAATTTTTCGGCGTTAGTGTACATATAAAGGGAAGTAACCGCTTCAAAAAAGCGGACTATTTTCGGCATTTGCAATTAACAGCATTAGACTCTGAAATTTCGCTACCATTATTTGTTTGGTCTGACGACCCAAACAAATAAAAACTATAAAGCATATCTTTCCAAAAAGGATTTAAATCTTGATGTAATTGTATTCTTGCATAATCTGTACCATACTTATATATGTTATTTAAACAAGGGCATGCACTTTTAACAATATGTAAAAATTACAATTAACTGTCAACAGTCTTCTTAGCCATGTTGCTTTTAAACTATAATTATATATTATAAACTAAAATAATCTACTTATAGTACTGTTACTTGAAGGACATTTTTGTCAAAAAAGTTGGGGACAAAATTATAACTTGCATTTTGCAAATTGAAATACTTAACTGAGGCTTTTACTATATAAAAACCTTATATAAAAGGTTATATTTTGCGTTAGTTAACAAAAATATGTATTTTAGTAATACAAATTTACAGGATAAACAGCTGAAATTGGGATTTTGACTTAAGGACGAGGGATAATCAGTTTTAATTTAGGTTTATGACACTACCTGAAAAAAATATGTTGAATATCTTATCCTGTAAATGTCTTAGTTAACAATATTTTATGTACTTACACGCATGCAAATTTATTTTTTATAAAATGATCATGCATTTTGTGAAAAATTGAAAAGGACTAGATTACAGGCGAAATCTGACAACAAACGATATATCAAGTGAAGAATTTAGTTCATATTTTGCATTGCTAGGTAGTGACGTAACACGGGATAAGAATCCTTACGCATAAAATTTCTGTACTTTTCATGATTTTGATAATACGGATTGTAGATTTGAAGAATTAGATAAAACAATAACTGTTCAAGAAATTTATAGGGGAAAAACGTTTGATAGTGATTTTATTTTGAATGAATATAATTACGAAGAATATCTTAATATGATGTCTATACACACTTGAATCGATTTATTACTAGATTAAGAACTTCTGCACATAACCTAAGAATACAAACTGGAATATATGCTAGAAATAGAATACAAACAAATGAACGTCTCTGTCAGTGTTGTTCTGTAAGAGACCTGAAAGATGAATTTCATTTTATTCTTATATATTCACAGCCTTTATATTAAAAGATACTATTTTGTAAATCCAAGTTTATTATAAAAATCTGTTACTATTAGAAGTTCAATATCAAGTAATGTTCAATGATAATGCAAAATTTTGACTATATCATGTTTTTTTTATAAATGTTCACCCTCATTTAACTGAGGCTTAATAATTTAAGTTTTTTTGTTGTTGTTTGTTTCTTTTATATCATTGATTGGTCGCACTGAAATGTATGTGTTTCTCTGAAATTATATGCTGTATATGATAATGTACTCTGTACAAATCAAAGAAATAGAAGTTCTGTTCTATTTATTACATAAATTGCGGACATAAGATTTCACACATATTTCTATAAACTCGAACTAATTAGTGAAAATGAGGCCTTTAGTTTTCTCAACGATTCTTTGTTGTAAATATTTGACCCAATATGCTCTTTTTAAAGTTCATGAAGTCCGATTCGAAAACAATTACTTTCGAGCCAACCAGGATCAGTTTTTAGTTGGAGTTCATATGCGCAGTAATACAACCAGGAAGACCGGTATGCCCGAGTGATTTCTTACAAAACATTTGAACGATGAACTAATCATTTTCTTTTGTATAACGCAAGAAACAAATGATACCTCTTTCAATGTTTACTTGTTTAAAAAATGGGAATTTATAGAATGCAATGCATGTTGAAATATATTGAGCTCATAAAATCTATAAACAGATCAAATAATGTAACGTCTATCATGTTAATTCTATCATATAAAATATGGACTGTAAATATTTACAATGTACATTTTATTCATTTAATTTCTGTAATAATTTATAGTTTATATAGCATGGTATATTATTTGATGATTTATTCCTGGTAGTTTAGTTATTGTGATGTAATGCGTGTACATGTATATGATTGCACGAGTACAAAATATTCAAACTAAAAAGAAGGATTTTTACAAGAAAAAAACCTACTGTAATGCCATAAACATTATTTATTCAAGGTGAAGATGCCAAAGACAGAGCAACCTTCGATCATCCGGCGTACACCTCGTGTTTGCTATGTTGTTGTTGGACTACTCTGTTTTATCATTGTCGGGATACTCATAGCGTCTGGAATTATCATTCATCGTCTTAATGTTAAAATATCGTCATTTCACGAAGAGGAAAATTGTCCGTCACGTGATCAAAACATAAACCTTGACCCTCCGGAAATACTTCCGCCTTTTTATGATCTTACAAAAGATGAAATTTTAGCAATTAAAAGATTTTTATATAGACAGCCAGATCTAAACCTTGTTCATGCATCTGAAATTCATACAAATAAAAGTTTTATATATACAATGGAACTATATGTTCCAGACAAAGAGGAAACTTTGAGATTTCTCGATGAGTCAGGGCCTGCACCAAAAAGGGAAGCCAAGGTTATTATCTTTAGGGGTGACAAAAAGGATCCTTTTGTGCAAGAAATAATTGTCGGACCACTTCCAAATCCAACGGAGAAACGATCAGAGAAACAACGACCGTTTACGTATCGACCAGTATCAATACCTGAATTTATGTGGGCCCAAGTTGTTATGAACTATTACTTGGAACATAGAGTAAATCATATTTTAGAAGAAAGTTATGGAGGAAAGATAGGTAAATGTGTTGACAAATGTTTAGAGTTTCAAATGATCACACAGATGTCTCCGGTATCATCAGGCGAACCATCATCGAGGAAAATATGGTTTTGGCTTGCACCTGTTGGTGAGTTTTGGAGCCTTAACCCAATTGACTTCTCTGTGCTGTTGGACATGACAAGCACCAAAATCGAAGAATATAGAATAGACAAAATATACTATGGAAACAATATGTATAATTCAGTCGATGATCTTGTTACTGCTTATGATTCAGGCGCAATTTCTAAAACTAAAATTAAGTTTCCAACCATAAACAAGAACTGGTATTCTACTCTGAACAGGAGGGGAACTTTGTTTCCGGAGGAAGGTTTACTACCGCCGAGGGAGTTTGAACCGAGTGGAAAACGATATTCCATTAATGGCTGCCATATTAAATACATGGGCTGGAGTTTTGACGTAAGAATGTCGACAATTAGTGGTCCTCAGATATTTGATATCCGGTACAACAATGAAAGAATTGTTTATGAAATGAGTCTACAAGAAATTGCTGTTTTTTATTCTGCAAGCAGTCCTGCACAGCGATTTGCAGACTTTGTTGACGGTGTAGCCATGATAGGTTCGCGAATAAAGTTCCTTGTTTCCGGTGCAGATTGTCCTGCTCACTCAACTTATTTAAGTTCCGATGTAGTTCTTGAATACTCTGAAGATCCAATTCATTTTAATCGAGCATTCTGTGTTTTTGAGCATAATACAGGTGTTCCATTGAGGAGACATCTGTCATTCCAAGGTAACAGGATGTTTTATGAAGGAATGATGGATACGGTTCTGACACTTAGAACAGTTGCATCGCTAGGCAATTACGATTATATAGTAGATTTCATCTTCCATCAAAACGGAGGTGTGGAATTTAAAGTGATATCAACGGGCTACATATTGACATCTTTTAGACATCCATCGGAAGATAGCTACGGTTTCCGCTTGCGCGATCATATGACCGGAAACATTCACCACCACATGTTTCATGTAAAAGTTGACCTAGATATTCACGGTCATAATAACAGGTTTGAAACGATCGAAATAGTTCCAGACGAAGTCAGCATAACGGCATTTGCAAACACTAGCAGTAAGTATCATCAGACAAAAATGGTTCGTCATGTTGTTGATTCAGAAAAAGAGGCAGCTTTGAAGTTTGACTTTGATGTACCGAAATATCTTACATTTTACAACAAGGACTTCTTATCTTCTACCGGTGCTCCAAGAGCATATAGGCTGTTTACAAGGGGAATTTCAAAACAGGTAATTTTTTTCGTGGTAATCTAATTAATTAATTAAAGATTAGATATTTAGTAAAGATAAGTATAAATGCTGTTTGCTGGCTACATTTTATCTGCGACATTAACTGTTTGTCCACAACCTTAAATGAAGATTTTCTCCTCAATTGATCTGGTTTTGACAAATTTTACATTGATTCTACTAGTATTTAAGTTCTGTTTGTATGAAAGTCACATGAAAGAAAAATCAAATGTATGAAAATGTCAGATATTTTCAAAAATATCTTATATCAAAGCATTGACATATAAAAAGTTTTATAAACAAAGGAGCTTATTAGCAAAGAATAAATAGCAATGATTGTTATAGAACTTAAAATGTCATTCTTTTTATAAAGAATTGTACCCTTTTGGCCGTTTTTTGGCCACCATTCACATACAATTTTTATAATACACCAGTCGACTGACGCCCTATCCCAAACCCTAAATATTACTGGAACTTGTGCTTTTGGATTACCAAATCCAAATTTGGATTACCTTTTACCGACTAAATTCAGCAGCACTTTAAACTTGACTTGTTCCACATTATTTGAAATCGCGCAAAATTAAAAGCGCCGTTTTGTTCGGTTCATATAGCCCCGTAATGTCCTGGTAGTTTAGCCGGCGTTAGCAATTAAGTGGTTAAAATCTGTATGTCTGACATAACTAAGATTTACATGCGTTTGAGTATGATCGATCTTGGAGTGATGAAAATTTAGTAAGATGACTATCGATGTTTGTGAACTACAATAATACTAATAAAAATGATGATGATGATGAACGATTCAAAATAAAACCTATATTAGCTATACTGTTCATAGGTAACTGAATCCTTAAAGAAATGTTTAAACACATGATTCGAAATGAATTGTTTTATATTTTTAAAAGCTCAACATTTAAACAATGTGCATATTTATATAATGCGTGTAAAGCTGTATGAGAAGGTTGGAGCGTATCTGTTTTGTCTATTGTGTATGATATCTACAATATCATCAGACTTAATTATGTTTAGGTTGTCAAAGAAGGTACTGGACAGGAACCGACTATTTCGTGGGCACGTTATCAGGTAGCTGTAACAAAATATAAGGAAACTGAAAGGCGAAGCAGTTCACTGTATGCTATGTATGACGGTATGGACCCAGTTGTAAACTTTCAGAGTTTCATTGACGACAACGAGACCATCACTGATGCGGTAATATAATTTTGTATAAACATGTGAAAGCATTTTATCCGAAATACCTGTATATATCTCAATTCTTACCTGATGAGATAATTTTATTATTTGAGGTAATTTAATCTTTTGAATACCTATTATTGCAGCAGTGTTTTCAAAGATGAATGATTGTTTTGTTAACGAATTTGGTCTTAATGTATTTGATATTTGGTACATATTTTCATTTTTCAATTTTCTCGTATTTGTTATTCTTAAATAAAATGGATGTTTTGGAATTGGATATCATTTTCTATGATTTTGTTTTTTACCTGTCAATTCAGGATCAAGTGGCATGGCTGACATTGGGTATACATCACATTCCTCATATGGAGGATATTCCTGTCACTCACACAGTTGGCCTTGACCTTGGATTTTTTCTTCTACCATTTAATTACTTTAACGAAGATCCTGCGATGGGTTCCGGGGATGCCATACGAATTGAACCGGAAATACAAAGTGACTTTACTCAAGGAATAAGAATAGAAACCTACGGAAAGTCTGCAATTGGACAATGCATCCCTTCTCAGTCACCGTCTATGGACAGACTTAAGAGAAATCCAAAGAGTTTATTTGGCTAAATGTCTTTCGGACGTGTGGATTTCATATCAGGTTATAAAAATTCAGCATTTTTGTTGTAAATCACAAGGTGTTACTTGTTGTAAAATATGTTTGAACAATTAGATCTAGACCTATTAATCCGATGCTTTTCTTGTTTAAGTGTGTGGTATAATTGATGTAAAATGTTTTCTAGTTGTATTCTTTAAATTGTTCACTTTTACATGAAAATCTGGCAAGATCTTACAGGAGCAGAAGTTGTAAACCATTTAATGACAGAAGGGCTTATTTTGTCTTTGTATACCATTGCAGTTCAGTTTGTATTTGACCTAAACAAAGTGCTTTCCTTATATGTATAGTGTAACCGCTTAAAATGTCTGTGTATATAACTGCATTGTTCAGGACTTATATTTGGTACATTTGTATTTACTATCACTTCTGTACATAGAATTTTCAAATCATGACCGTTGGGTTAATAGAGTGATTTTTTTCGCGTTTTTCTTTTGCTTCTATAATACCTGATAAGAGGTCATAACCTTTTTCATTCGTTTATTTCTGATTCGATTATACTGTCAACAGTTTGTTTACAATTTTTAATTACAAAAACCAATGTTCTTATAGTTTTGAAAGGCAATATTCTATTTCTATTTTGCTTTATCATTTCTTAATAATAGAGATAAATACGTTTTATATCTCACTCGAAGAACTATTTCTTTAGGAAGAAAAATGTCCATTTAAAATCTTGCAAACTTACTGGTCCACTCATTACAGTGACTAAATCATGATTAACGAGGCTACCAAATGTTGCAATAGTTTATGTTTTGGTTTAGTATATGATTGCTTCGGATTACAAACAAATATAACACATTTTAGGCAGCAGCATTTTCTTGAAACGCCAAAAAGTGTTGTTTATAGTCAATTGAAACGGCAACCATGTTTTAAAGATATTTCATGAGCGCATAAATTTTGAATATGCCTTGAAACAACGACATAACACTGCGATTTATCGCAGAATTGTATAATTTATTGTTAAGTTCATTCAAAGACGAGGAAGGAATTCTCATACTAGTCACGAGGCGTTTTGTAAACTGAACGGTATGGCTTATCAGTAAATGCCGTCTCTTGATTTTGGCGGTATTGGTCTTCCATATAACATTTGCACATACAGGTACACAGGTAGATAAAATTTACGCTTTTGTAGGTTTTTACCTTGAATACGTTATATTAATATTTGCTTGAAATAAGAAGGTTGATCGGATACGTTTCAAAAGGTATGTTTATTTTAGTAATATCTTATCGTGAATATGAACAATTGCTGCAGACCCGACATATATTTTGCATAATTAATATAATAACCGAATGATGCTACTGACAAAAAATATACATCAGATATTAAGAAGTGAAAGAAAACAAACAACATTTTTCATGAAAGTTCAAGGATGATAATTCTGATATCCCCGGTAATAAAGGTGCTAGAATTTTGAACCTTGCCACATATGATGTGGGTTATGATAAGAAACATACATTTATGGTAAAGTTTAAAGAAGGTACATTAAAAGATATAGATGTTATACAAAAAGTGCTGAAAAGTTGTGAACCTTAGCGTGCATAATCACCATACTGTCAACTATCCATATTTCAAGTTAATAAAAAATCATTACTTTTTGAGTTATCAAACATATTGTTATATTTGCCATATTTCATTTGTTGTCAAAGCAACAAAATTTTTCAACATAGGAGGAAAATAAAAGGTGTTCATAATCTCCAGACTGTCATCTACCCATAGTTTAAGTTTCATGAAGATAATATCAATACTTTTTGCGTTATCACGGGATCCAGTTTTTGTGTTATATTTGCCATACTAGTATTTTTAGTCTACTTGTTTTCATAGCAACCGAATTTTTCAACATAGGAAGAAAATAAATAATCCTCAGACTGCCAGGATCCAGTTTTGTGGACGGGCTGACTGACGGACGGGTGAATAGACGAACGGAGGGTAAACCTAGTCTCCCCCAGTTAAACCGGTAGGGGACTAATAAATTGATTAGTATACAGTTGAATAAGGAGACGAATAAATGAAATGGAGATGATAGGGGAATGGTATATAGAGTAGGAGTATTCTAAGAAATACAAAATGTCCCTGTAACATAACGTTAGTCAAACACACTTAAAATCTTAAATTGGTTGCAATTCCACTAAGCAATAGTCCTTGTCCAGCACACAAGAGTTTGCTGTAGAGATGTACTGATGTCAGGGAAGGGGGACATGGGGTTATTAGCATAGTCCTGACATGTTAAAAATTCATACATGATAAAACTATTATAATACCTATATGTCATCTTCGTTGCTAGTTTTAACAAAGTACAGAATTATTTTATTTGAAAGACATCATAACATACATGTACACAAACAAGACACAAGTTTATTTTATGTGGGATACATTAAAACAGAAGACACTAGATCATGAGCTATTTTTTGACAAACATATGTAAATGGATTAACAAAGATAATGCAGCTAAAAAGTTAAAAGTTATCAGCATAAGCACATCTAAGTACATGGATTTAAGAAATTATTTCATGTTTAAATGTAACAAGAATTACAAACAAGATAAAGCAAAGAGTAAGATATACATCAGGTCTGGGAATCAGAACTGCGTCGTATACAAACGCCGCCATCTTGGAAAGGAAAAGGTAAATTTTTATTTATTACTCTTTATGTTGGAATGGAGTGGAAACCAAATACATGTATATGTATGCCACGGTTCAGAACTGTTCACTATTTAGGGGAGATAATATGTAAGCGGCCGGATAGCTCAGTCGGTAGAGCCGCGTTACGATATTCCGAGGGTCCCGGGTTCGAGTCCCAGTCACGCTACCCTGTGACATTGTATCACTGCCCCCAGTTTTGCGTCAAATGTCTCAGAGTATGAAAAATGTGCATGTATTAAGACGCTCCACTATTTCCAACTTTGTTTGGTACATGTTGCTCGAATATATATATTTTGTAAAAAAAGGCTACAGCGAACTTGCAACACAAAGCGGTCAGAAATTATATAATGCCTTGTGGATACGAAGCAGTTCATATTGCTTTATCCATCGCGTTTTCCTTCGAACTCATTATATACCGTTTCAAAGTTTACCATAGTCTTCAAAACATAATTTTGTATCATTTACTAAAATGTCATTAAAAAAAAGATGTTTATTTTCCCAAAAAAATAATGATGATACGACGCAGTTGTATTTTCATTGTAGGCTTTAATTCAGCTATTATGCGCTAAGTATGCTGGTAACGTCCAACAACATTTCTTGTTTGCGAAAGGACCTTGTATACAATTAAAGTCAATAGCAGAGGTCAGTTACTGGTTTCATGAAAATGAAAAATGTAATAAAATTCAATTAAGGATTCATTTTTAGGTCGCTTTTTAACCCAATACCGCATAAGCATTTTGTGAAAAAATGGCTGTATTTATTGAAGAGCCTCTAGTTACAAGTTCAAAATGCTATGAAACTATAAAAATGTTTCAATACCGATCAAACTTGGCACACATGTTGACTGGACCATTGCCTTTGTAACAGCATGCTCAGTCTTAAATGTGCTGTTACCATGGCAACGAGGGGTGGGGGTCGCCGAAAAAGTGATCACCTTTTTAAATAACATTTCTCTAACAAAAACAAGTGTTGCCAGCTTTAATAAGGTATTTTTTTTCCATTTGAGGCATCAATTGAAGGGGGAGGGGTGGAAAAAGACGTTTAAAAGCGGGTATATGAGGGAATGGATTAACACAGATAATTATAAAAAATACTTGAAATTACCCAAAATCGAGTTTTTCCATGTTAAAACATTGCCTTACACATAGTTTTTGAAGAAAAATTGTTGTTTTGTAAAAAAATTTTCATTCAGCACCTGTCATCTAGATATTACGAAAAAAAGTGTATCAAATGCAAAACACATTGAAACACGTGATCCGCAAACCAGATGACAGCATGTTCTAGTGTTGCCTTAGCATGCTTGTAAACTTCTCGTGAGTTTGAAACTAATAGGGGGTGGTTACCTTTTTGCATTTGCAGTACTTTTGCATGTTCCTCTCATGGACGCAGTATTAACCTGGAATGACCTTTGTTGTTGTTGTTTTTTCTTTAGAAAGAGATGCAATTTTTTTTAAAAGTATCATGCTATTGGAAGAGAGGAATGCGCAAATTGCATGCCTACCTAAGTTTGTATGAACAAAATTTCCGACATTTCCGTAATTACTTAAGTCTTTTACGCGCCGATTTTATTGTATTCATTTTCTTATAATCGTTGAGGACAGTTGAAACATAAATCGGTATGTAAATAAAATATTATTCGTCTCTCAAATGAACATTTATTTTATAAATTATAGTATAATTGGTTAAGCTACGATATTTTTTGCAAGTAAGGTATGCGTTTCGTTCAGTCATTTTATGTTCAGCGCGGGACTTTACCGCTAATTTTGCCGTATTGCATTTCTTTAATGTCGATTAGACTAGACGGACTAGAGTTACTCTAAAATGGTTAAATATTTACAACACAGTATCATTCTACTCCATAATGAACTTTAAATTTTCGAAATCGAGTTATAAATGATACAACTAAAAATTATTTTGTAAAGTACGTGTCTGTTTTGCTAAGGTAGTTTACGCTTCGCACCGTTAATCTTGATACAGATGTATGCTTTGATAGCATTGTAGAAGTTTCCCCTCCATTCAAAAGAATCAGCTGTTTAAATAAGAAGGTATAAAGTATTTAGATTACAAAAATTTGAATTAATGAGAAATATCATACTTTATTATGACTGCTCAAAGTTAAGGTTTGTTAAGATACGATGTCTTAAGTCAATGGAAAACGTTGTGCGATAATCAGACCTTAATTTGTCTCATTTGTCGAAAAAAAAAACAACAAACCAGACAGGTGTATCCGACCGACGCTGAGCTGTTTATGTTTACTGACTTCAAATCACTTGCCCCTAACTGCCGTGAATCCGAAAACCACCAGGGACTTTTTATTCCTTCGTATGGAGAACTTAGCTAGCTTCAAAATGTTGATGGTTCTCTGCCAGTGCAACATTTTGTCTGAATTAATGCACAAAGCCACTGTTGATATCCTTGCTTTCATTAAAGCT